TGGCCATGCCGTAGTCCCTTCTCCTTCACTCTCCTCCTGGGTTTTTGAGCATGCACACTCATGTGCCCAGCATATTTTTCAAGCTGTCAGGTCTGGGACTCGAACTGTGCATTCAGCCATGTGGGATCCAGTGCCTTAACCACCACACCATCTGCTGGCTCACTTATAATTTTTTAAACTCATTTTCTGTGCTTTACTTTTGTCTGTTTGCTCTTTTTTTTTTTTAATTTTTTTTTTTTTTTAAAAAGGACCCCAAGTGAATGCAGTGTTCTCATTCTCATAAACTATGTCTTCTTGACTTTTGATGCAACAATTCTGCATGGCTGCTTGATTTCATTTCAACAAAGCAAACTTTCCTAGTTATTGTTCTGATTATAGTTACCAATATTAAATAACTGTTAATGGTTCGATAATGTTTACGGGCCACAACATAAGTAGATCTGATAAGTGAAGTTTATATAGTATTAATTCTTTTTGCTCACTCAGAATAATCTCAGACCTAAAATTAGACTTTTGCCTTAGGTTTAGGTACTTATTTTACATAAACCTTTGGAGGGAAAAACACAAAAATTTTTCTGCTTTTCTTTCTTCTTTCTTGGTTCAGGTGCTGATGGAACTGCTGCTAATAGAACTGTGTCCCGAGCTGAAAGCTCATTTAGATCAACTTAAAGCTGGTCAAGTTTGAGACAGCACACACACACCACCAGAGAAATGTCTGTGTAATAATAGACATGAAACATTTTCCTCTTACCACAGAGGGCCTGAATGAGAACCATATCTATCTTTATTTTCGTCCCCTCCCTCTAGTTTTATGTGAAACATGCAGAATTAGGGGGCAGGTGGACTTGATGCTATAGTAGGCAACAGAAAAAATAACTTGTTTATTGATTTTTATTTAAATAATAGACTTAAAGTTCAATATACGGATTGAAATACAAATGTTAATATGTGAAAGAACCTAGGAAATATTTTAAATATTTATGAAAACAGTTTTGTTTTAAATGAACTATGACTATTGTACAGTTAATTTCCTCACTGAGGACCGAACATTCCTGTATCATTTCATGTGTGTTGAAGAACATTGTTGTGCAATGCTTTATGTAAAGTTATTGTGAAATTTTTATTGTCTTTATTTTTACCAAAGATTTCCCATAGTTTGAAGCATTTGAAGCAATAAAATATAAAAATGAATCATGACGTTTAAGATGCTTATATCTCAAAAAGCAAGAGTTGAAACACTTCAGAAAATTTAAATATTTGAGTCCCTTTTTTTATTTTTTGTTAAAAAAAAATCATGCACAAAAGAACTTCTGCAAGGAAGTATAAACCGTGCTGCCTTTCTCCAGAAACAGAATAAACACTCGAGCTATTAGTGCCTTTTAGTGAGTGAAAGGAGCCAATTAGTGCTTCAAATGAGGCATTCAGGAGGGAGGATGCTGGCTGAGTATGGGCAGGGATGAGGTAGGCAATCAGAAAGGCGAGGGACTTCTTCTCCGGGGCAGTATATGTATATATATTTTTCTCAAATGTATATCGCCATACAGTTTTGGGCATATGGACTTACTGTTTTTACTGTTCCTTTTTGCTTTCATAGATGTCATTGATATAAAGAAAGCCTTGTACTAATTTAACTTTTAATATTTACTTGTAGTTCTTGCATTGTTACATGATTTCACTGAGTTTTTTCACTTTTTTTTTTTGAGAGATTGTATTTTGCTATGGGGCACATACATGACATACATTCACCAGAAAGACAGAGACAGAGAGACTGAAAGTGAGATATCATCTCCTGGGGGGATGGCCACACCACAATCCCTTCTCCTCCATTCTCCTTTTGGATTTTGGGCACACATGCACGTGCACCTGCCGTGAGTTTTAAGCTGTGGGGTCTGGAACTCAAGCCGCTGTCAATCATGTGGGAGTCCAGTGACATGACCATTATGCCATCTGTTGATCCTCCCCCCCCCCTTGGTTTTGCTATGGAGTGTGAGGGCTTGCCAGACACAGAGGAAAAGTGAGGAAACCCCCAGGGTGATGATCACGGCACAGTCCCTTCTCCTCCAATCTTCTCCCAGGGATTATCAGCATGCATGCACACACATGTGGTATGATTTGTAAGCCACCAGGTCTGGGACTCAAACCGCACAGCCAGCCATGTGGGATCCAGTGCTTTAACCTCCATGCCACCTGCTGGCCCTTTTGTCCACATTTTTCTTGCATTGAAATATATCTAGGCTCTCAAATATTTAGAAAATGAGCCAAAGCACAAAGGAACATCTTGCTTTAAATGAATAACTTATGAATATTCATCATGAATATAGCAGTTGTTTTACTAATTAAAATCTTTGAGGGAGGATTTAGAGGGGCAAAATTTTAAGTAATTTCTTAAATCTGCTTTTTTTAAGGTTTATAATAATTTAACCAATTGTTTATAAAAATCTTTTTTAAGAATTTAAGATGTCCCAGAGACTTAACTGCATTTTTAGCTTAGTAACTTTAGAAGTGGAAGTGCTACACACTTATAAAAAAACGTTATTTAAAAGTTTGATTCTTAAATTTGTTTGGGCCTTGATTTTGTCTATTTTAAATTTAAAAAAAGTAAATGACAAAAAAATTAAAATTTTGTTATTCAAAATTCATTAAAAAAATTAAGGCCCAAAGAAATGTAAAGCCTTAAACTTTTTTTTTCTTTTTAAGTTTTGCTGTAGGGTACATGCACTTGTTGGAAAAAGAGAGAGAGAGCGAGAGAGAGAAAAGCCATTTTTCCTGGGGAGGATGTTCATGCCACAATCCTTTCTCCTTCATTCCTCTCTGAGGATTTTCAGAACACATGCACAAATACTTGGTATGTTTCTCAAACCATCAGGTCCAGGGTTCAAGCTGTGTGATGGTCATGTGGGATCCAGCCACCTTAACCACCATACCACCAGCTGGCCCAGGAGTGCAACTATCAATTGATGGTAAGTTGGTAGTATTCATACTTCTGAATTCACTGAACTAAAACTGTTAAGTTTTTTGGGAGGAGGGGTTAATGTATATAAGAAAGGAAGAAAGATACTTGCTTTATGGATTGGTTTTACTATTTGGAATAGTTGAGATCCATCTTCCAAAAGTTGGATGCTATGCCTAAGTTTCAGGTTACAAAAACTACAACATACGCATTCAAGAACGGAAGTAACATGTCATCTGTTGTAAAATACCAAGGATGATGTAACTTGGAATATAGAAAATAACCAAATACAGCTACTATAAAAATACATACATTGTATTGTGTTAGAGTTGATGTTCTTTTGTGGAGATGCACTGTGGTCTAAATTCTCTGACGAATAAGTAAGCGGTGAAGTTCATCTGCCAACACAGGATTCAGACGACAAGCCTTAAAACCAAATAGAGTCACTGATTTAGATACATTGTAACCGCTCAGTATCTTTTTTTTTTCTTTCTTTTCAAATTTGTTTTTAAGATAATAAAGTACAATTAATGTAAAGGGAATTTCTTAATGAAGCTACTTTCTCTTTCCTAATGGAAATAAGAGAATCTCAAACTTGACCTATACAAAATATATCATACTCAAAATAACCATTTTATTGTCACTTAAAAGAGAGAAAATTTTATCAGTGCAAGAATAAAGGGAGCTGAATGTCGATGATTGATGCCGTTCTATGCTATGAATTATTCAAATAAGTAAAATGGAAAACAAAGACGCTTGGCCTCAAACTTTGGGATCTCCTTTGAATAGCAGCATCTCTGATAATCATATTTTAAATTTTGCAGTTAATTTTATTATACCTACTAAAGTAAGAAGCGTGAGGCGCATACTTTCTAGCGTGTCAAGAATTTGGGGGAGAGATCAGAGGTTATGTCATTCAATCCCTACTCCGGGCAAAAATCATCCCTTCAGTACCCATGACAGTTGGCCACTAGGTACTTGCTGGCTTGTTTTTTAATGGCAGGAAGTCATCACCTTACACAGGTCAAATATCCCTTATCCAAAATGCTTGGGACCCAAATCTAAACCCAGAATTCATTTATGTTTTGTATACACCTTAGACACATAGCCTGAAGATAATTTTATACAATATTGTATTGCAGCATTTTGAACTGTCACATGAGGTCAGGTATGGAATTTTCCACTTGTGCATCATATTGGTGCTCAAAAAGTTTTGGATTTTGGAGCATTTCAGATTTTGGATCCTTAAACGTTGTATTAAAAGATTTTCTTTATATTAAGCTAAGATTTCCTTCCGTGCACTTTGGTGTCGTTGAAGGATGCTAGGAGAACATACAGTGTAACCCTGGTTTCATAGAAACCCGAAGAGGCAACGCAGTTGACAGTCACGCGGCGGCCTGATAGTGGTAGAACTGAGGCCAGGGCCAGGTGTGGTCTCCTGAGTTTAGGTCCACCGTTCACCCTCTTACTGCTTTAGACATTTCCATAACACAATGTCCTTGGCTCTAATTCTCTCCTTACCTCACAGTCCCTTCGATGCTCCATCAGTCAGTAAAGATTACCATCAGGACCTTTCACTATGGCCCTTTCACTGTGAATGAAACATTTTCAGTTTCTCTTATGCCTGATGTGACAGGATTCCAGATTCTTCACTGGTTTACTGCCACTAAAAGGTCTCCATTTTATCAGTCTCTCCCATAAGATGCAGTGGCCAAAATTGAGTACAATATTCTAGATGTGGTCTTATTAGTACAGAGTCATGGGGTTATTATTTTCTGTCATATGAAAAATAGCTCCAAGATTATAATGTCTGTTTTGCTCTTTTATTTGAGATGAATAACCACATTTCCAGGTATTTTTTACTCCCTTTTCTCTGTTTACATTTATTTTGAAAGAATACTAAGAATAGCATGGAACCCGAAATGAACTTGGCTTGGAAATTGGTATAATACAGACTGTATTTTGATTTTTTAAAAGATAACAAAGACAATTATTATAAGTCATACTAATAGGATGGTGTGGTGTAAGTATCTCAAAGGTCGGTTGTATTTGGTTTTGTACTGTGTTCCTCTATGTATGTGTTAATGTGGGCTTGATGCTTTGGAAAGTTTTATTTTATTGCCAGAAGGCTTTGGTTCACCAAAGAGAGATGGGGAGACAGAGAGGGAGAGGGAGGAAAGCACATTCCATCTGTGTGCATCACTGCAATTTCTGCTCCATTTTTCCATCCTGTTAATTTGGGACATGCACCACACACCCAGCATGTTTCTCGAGCAACTGAGACTTGAACTACATAATCAGTTACCTGGGATCTGGCTCTGTTAACCACTAGACTGGGGCTGCCCTGGAAATTTTCATCTCAAATAAAATACTTCTAGGGTTCCCAAACTTGCCCGCTTCTTGCCATCTGTTGGGGAATTTTCGGCAAATATACACGTGTCTTACTCCCAGGAATCATAATTTCATTGTTCTAATATAAGGTCTTGCTTTATTTTTAAAAGACCCTCAGGTGATTTTAGTACACAGACAAGTCTGGGAACCATGGTAGCTATACCAGATTCATACAGGAGACTCAGAAAATTGTCCTTGCCTTGTACCCTCTGCTCAAGCTGAGCAATTTGTGCATGATGTGAACTGCTTTACAGTTTATTGTGATGTAATTCTAACTTGGACTCATAGATGTCATGAACCTAAGGTGTGTACAGTTCTTTTTTGGAGGGAGGAGCGGGAAATTTGCCATAGGGAGAGGGATAGAGGGAAAAGGAGAAATCATGCCTCACCCGGGGGAATGGCCATACCGCAATCCTTTCTCTTCCAGTCTCCTCTTAGGATTCTGGGCACACACACGTGCCTAATGTGATTTTGAAGCCATCGGGCCAGGGGCTCGAACCATAGTCGGCCATGTGGTTGTCCAATTTCTCAACCACTATACCCCCATTGGCCCCCAGCATACACAGTTGTTTTTGTTTTTTTTTTTAAGAATTCACTTATAGTGAGACAGCTCCATGGCTCCTGCAATCTAGCCATTTGGGTAGAAAGGAAGATGTCCCACTGATAACTGGGCCTCCAGCATCCAAAACTCGCGTGAACAGCCCTTCTTCAAAAGACAGACAGCTCCATGGCTCCTGCGATCTAGCCATTTGGGTAGAAAGGAAGATGTCCCACTGATAACTGGGCCTCCAGCATCCAAAACTCGCGTGGTAGGAAGATCCCTTTCAAGTCTCCTGTCTCTATCTGCCTTTGTCTCTCTCTACGCCTGTCTCTGTCCTCTCTGTCGCTCTCGCTCTCTCTTTTTTTTAATTTTTTACTTTTTAGAATTTTTTTAAGGTGAGGCATTTTACAGGGCCCTTGGCCCCTCCTACCTAGCCCTTTATCTTGTTAATAATCCCCTCTCCTCCTCCCAGAACAGCCCTTCTTCAAGAGACAGCCAGCTCCAAGGCTCCTGAGATCTAGCCCTTTCACGCGGCATGCTAGCACGCCGCGAGGTTTTCTAATTTTTTAGTTTTATTGAAATTTTTTGAATATTAATTTTTCTTTTTAAATTTATTTAAAAGTTTTTCTCTTCTTTTTTCACTGTTTCTTGTCTGTTTTTTTGCTGTTGTTGGTATCGTTTCCCTCTCTCTGCTTCCTTTTCTGCACACTCCTCAACCCTCAGATTGAACTTCCAAGTTTGGGAAGAAACCGACCATCCACCAGATGACTAGAAATCGCTGCAGGACCACAAGAAATATGGGGAAGCAGGAAAATACCTCTCCCACAAGGGAAAAGGATAGCTCCTCTTTATCCACACACAGTTCAATGGAAATCATGGAAATGTCTGATAAAGAATTCAGAACATTCATAATGGCAAAGCTAACAGAGATGGAAGAGAAGAGAGACAAGGAACTGCTGAAGAGGAAGGAGAAAGGAATTGA